GAGGGAGAAGGGCTTTGCAGTGAGAAGGAATGTTGTAGGATGTAACTGGATCAGTCAGTTTAATCAAATCTCTCAAGGTGAAATTACTCCAAACTGCAGCTTCCCTCTCTCACCTTTCTCTGCTTAGTGCTGGCTGATTCCTTTTGTCTTCCCACCAGGAATGTGATCCATGGCAGCGACTCAGTTGAGAGTGCCAGGCAGGAGATCTCCTTGTGGTTCCCGCCGGAGGAGCTGACCTGCTGGCAGAACACAGCCGAGCACTGGATCTATGAGTGAGAAGTGCATGCCGAGGAATTACATCTTCCTGACTGGGCATGGAGTGTTCCCATCCATGTCACCTCAGCTGCTTGAGCTGGTTGTGGATCCTGCTGTGGGAGTTGTGCTGTGTGTGGCTGGAGGGGTCCTGGGAGCTGCTTTCTGGATGAAAACTCTGGTTCAGCTCCCTGCAAGAGTAGTTGTGTCTTTTTTTCTCTCCTCTCTCTGCTATAGTATGTAGTTGGTATTGTGACTGTTTGCTGCAGTGTCTTAAATCGCAAATAACTCAAGGTGATTCACTGAAGTGAAAAGTGCACCCATTCTGGTGGATTCTCTGATCTGCCTGGTGCAGAACACGTGCTCCTGCTGGGAGCTCTGGTCACTACAAGGCGATGTGTTTGGTGTTATCTGCAGTTCTATAAGGCTTTTCACCCAAGGCTTTTAAAGAATTGGGCTGCTGTGGGATAAGGGGGCAGTGCCCCCTGGGGTAAGAACTCGTTCCAGGGCAAGCGTTAAAGGACAGGACAAAATGCTCAGTCTCCCTTGGTGGGACTTCTGTGTGCCAGGGTTAGCACCTGTCTTCAGCTGGAATTAGTGAGTCTCTGGAAGGAAGAATCACCAGATGCTGTTAAACACAGTTTCTCTCTCTGTGGGTGCTGGAGCAGCTCCTTCTGGTCCACTCTTGTTCCTGGTGGGCCCCATTGCTGGCTGCATGGACCTGGTCTCGTCCCTCCATGGCACCCACCACACACGAGTGAAGCAGCAGCACCGTGCACAGCACAGCACTCAGGGAGTGACAGGGAGGCAGGGAAGGGTTTGTACAGCTGGGGCTCAGGAAGGACCAGCACTGTTCAGTCCTCTCCTGTGTGCAGTGCAGGCTGTGCAACACTGGGGGATCCTGAGGTCTCTGACGGAGTTTTCCTGTGGAAGGGTTTCTGGAGACCCCATTTGTAATCACTTGGAGAACACCTTGACCCTGCTGTGAGTCTCCTGGAACACCTCAGTGCTCCCATCTGTGTCCCAGGTCCGGCACAGCCTTGCATGCGATGTGGCATCCTGCTGTGGAACAGGGGCAGGCTCGCCTGCGTGAGGGGGGGATGTTCTGCCTGTGCCCTACAAGCCCATCTCTGTCTCTATCTCCAGCTCTGTATCTGCTGAATGAGCAGAGTTCTCTGAGGGCAGAGTGAGCTCAACCCAAACCCTGCTCCGGGCTGGCCCCGAAGGTGGTGGTGCTGAGGACGGTGGTGCCGGCATTGACTCAGAAGCCCGCGCTGAGGGAACTGAGGGCTTCCCACAGCTGCCCATCGGCCACAGCCAGAGCTCTGCTGCCCCCGGGCCTCCTGCAGGCGGCAGCTCCTGGCGCTCCCTAGCCCGCCCCGCCGTTGTTCTCGCACCGGCCCGGGTCCCGCCGCGTCCCCGCGGCCTCTCTGTCCCGGCACCAGCCGCAGCCGCCACCTTGCCCGCCGCTGCACGAGGCTGCCTCAGGTGCGAGGGAGGCTCCTGCCCGTGGATTGGCCCACGCTCGTCACGTTGGGCGTGGCCGGCAACGATCGGCTTCAGCGCGAGCGCAGCGCCCCCCGGCGGCGGTTGGTGGCGGTGAGGGCATGAGCGGCAGCGGTACCCTCGGTCCCCTCGGTACCGGCTCCTCTCCTTTCCCCTCTCCTTTCCCCTCTCCTTTCCCCTCTCCTTTCCCCTCTCCTTTCCCCTCTCCTTTCCCCTCTCCTTTCCCCTCTCCTTTCCCCTCTCCTTTCCCCTCTCCTTTCCCCTCTCCTTTCCCCTCTCCTTTCCCCTCTCCTTTCCCCTCTCCTTTCCCCTCTCCTTTCCCCTCTCCTTTCCCCTCTCCTTTCCCCTCTCCTTTCCCCTCTCCTTTCCCCTCTCCTTTCCCCTCTCCTTTCCCCTCTCCTTTCCCCTCTCCTTTCCCCTCTCCTTTCCCCTCTCCTTTCCCCTCTCCTTTCCCCTCTCCCCTCTCCTTTCCCCTCTCCTTTCCCCTCTCCTTTCCCCTCTCCTTTCCCCTCTCCTTTCCCCTCTCCTTTCCCCTCTCCTTTCCCCTCTCCTTTCCCCTCTCCTTTCCCCTCTCCTTTCCCCTCTCCTTTCCCCTCTCCTTTCCCCTCTCCTTTCCCCTCTCCTTTCCCCTCTCCTTTCCCCTCTCCTTTCCCCTCTCCTTTCCCCTCTCCTTTCCCCTCTCCTTTCCCCTCTCCTTTCCCCTCTCCTTTCCCCTCTCCTTTCCCCTTCCCTTTCGGGCCGGGGGAGCAGTAGGGATGCGCCGTGCAGGGCCGGGGGTGTCCGGGAGAGTTGCGGCCAGAGCGGGGCCCGGGGCCGTGTCGCCGGCAGGGTCCGGCGGTTCCTCCCGCAGCCGTTGGTAACGGAGCAGCGCGAGGCGTAGCCGGAGCCCCGGAGCGGGCAGCACGGCGGGAGCGCCAGGGCCAGCGCTGACTCTGTCTTTACCACTTGCAGCGAGCGTAGCGCCCGGCACTTCTCGAGAGAACTTCAGCTTTACCAGACTTTTCCCACTCCGACGTGCTCCGTTATCCACAGCCGGCCGTTGACACTGTCCCGCTGCGGCCATGCCCAAGCGCCGCAGGATCGCGTTCACCACCCTGCCCACCGCACAGAGTAGCAGCTTCAGGCCTAGCGGGACCGAGGGCGGGGACCAGCCGCAGAGCTCCCGCCCCGCCGAGGCAACCGTGCGCATCAGTGTGCCGCTCTTCCAGTCCGATGACCAGAGGTATCCCGAGTTCTACTACCCGGATCTGGTGGAGAGCTGTCAACAGGGAAGAGAAGTCGATCCTTCGGGAGACAAGGTGAGTGGGCTCTTTGCTGCTGGAGTGCATTTGGAAGCCAGGAGATGCATCACTGAGGTTTTCTTGGATTTTCTTCCACTCTTTTTGTTGTGTCCCTTTCCATTACAAATATTTAAACGTTACTATCATATTTTATATCAATTATTAGTTGTTCTTATCTCAACCGATAGGTTTTCCTTATTTTCCCCAATTCTCCTCCCCATCCCATCAGGAGAGGCAGGCAGGGACCAAGTGGCTGCCTGGTACTTAGCTGCCAACTGGGCTTAAACCACGACAGCATCCACAGGAGGGATGCTTCCCCAGGACGTGGCTCTGTCTTTTTGGGGACCCTGGTCTGCTGCATGTGGATATTTCCACCTTAGTGCTTGGCATCTCCTTCCAGCTGGCCAACGTGGTGCTGTGACAAGCCGCCTGACAAGGCTGTTTGCCTGTTGAAAGGCATTTCTCAGGATAAGACAACATGCAAACATCTGTAGCCACCTTAACTGTACTATGGATGTTCTTCTCTGGAAGGAAAAGTTGACTACTCTGCTCATTTCTGCTGTTACTCTTAAGAACTGTTTAGCAGTCGATTGATGGTTCTTGCTGCTTGCTTTTGTATTATCTGTTGAGAGTCAGGAGAAGGAGAGACAAGTATAGAATAGTCTGAGAGAGCACCCATAACCTAGAGACTCTCAGAACACTGTACTGAAGGTTGATGTGTCGGAGGTTCCACCTGGATGCTCTGGTTGTGATGGGTTTAATGCATAGGGTTGTGGTGGCAGCATGACGGGATTGATTCTCATGCTTTTGTCTCTCATTTCTACAAAAGAAAGACCTGCCTGATCCCTTTAATATCAAAGAAAAGGAAAGACAAGAAGTGGAGGATCTGGTGAGGAAGTTTGTGGAAAAATACATATGTTTTTGTTCTTTACCTTATGTTACTCCTGAGAATGGGCAGTGCTGTTCAGACCTCAGCCAGTTAATGCTGATCTAGTTCTGCTATTTATGAGAGCACAAAAGATAACGTTCCTTTTCCTGTGCTGGAGCCAGTGTCAGTGTCCTGTGCCGGGGCTCTCCCATGGGAACTGGAAAACGGGCTGAACACTGTCAATCTGTTCTTGTTTAGGGTGGCAAGAGATGCAGGAAGGACTGGTTTCAGAACTTGATTGACATGGGGTACAGATATGATGAATCTGACTCCTTCATTAATAACTCTGAAGCAGTGAGGCTGGGAGCATTGGGAGAGTGGTTAAAGGTGCTGCTGGGTCTGAACTGGCACCTGGGGGGAACCTGTGTGGGGTGTGAGCCAGGAGTGTGCCAGGGCTGGGAACAGGATATCCCAGGGGAACAGGAGCTGCTGGGGGAAGCTCCCAGGAAGCGAACGCTGGTTACAAGGTGTGTGCACAGCCTGTCTGTTCTTGGGGAGCACAAATCCCACTCTGTTCTCCAAGCAGCTCAGCCTCAGAATGAAATAACAAAGCTCAACAGCACCAACAGAGTGCTCTCTCTCATTTCCAGTACAATGAGTTTCTTCCAGCTTCTCTTGATACAAAGTATGGGAGGTTTTACATCAACATGGGAATACTGGAATTTCAGCAAGTGTCTGAATCTGAAGATGACTATGTTAAAGAGAAGTGTCCCCAGGTCAGCAAAGCAGCTTTCTCAGTTCTCTGTTAGAGGTCGCAGGGTTTGCTGCACAAACGGCATGTTGACATTCAAGTAGGGAGACTTGGACTGGTGTGGACATCATCCCTATTGGGATGATGAACACTTGAGATCCTGTTCTGTTCTCCTATTGGATAGTAAAAGGACGGATATCTAGTGTGGATGGGACTTGGTTCCCAGAGTAGAGGTGACAGCAGCCCCCATCACCCTGAAAGTCACTTGGCATTATCACAGAACCATTAGGATTGGAAGGGACCTCTGGAGATCATCCAGTCCAACGCCCTGCCAAGGCAGGCCCAGCTCCCGCAATCTCTCCTCATAAGAGAGATGCTCCAGACTCCTGATCATCCTTGTGGCCCTGATGATACAGATGCCAAAATATCTTGGGAGGGTTCTTCTCTTGCATCTGCTGGAGAGAGCACTGATTGCGTGATGCTGAAGCAGGGTGGCTAAAAGGGAAAACAGCATGAGCCTTTGGCATCCCTTCCCTTTTCCCAATGTGATTATCACTTGTGGAAAAGGTAGGTGTGCTGAGCAGTGTTGAAGACCATAGTGCTGGCACACATAGTGACCGTGTGGGGTTTGGGTTCATGTATCCAGTGGGGAAGGAGCTGGTCTCCTGTTCCTGGGCTCTGGGGGTGCAGGGAGCATTGTAGGAGACACTTCAGTCATGACTTGGTTTTAATCCTCTCTAGAAGTGGATGTGGGAAGATGGAGGGGAACAAATGAAAAAGAAAGGTGAATCTTGCAACAAGGTAAAGAAATGCAAGTTTCCCAAAGCTGGGTAAGGAGGGAGGGAGTGCTCACTGCTGGACAGCCTGCTTCAGGGTCACAGTGCCATTTGTCACACTGCAGTGGTATCTGTTGCAGTGCAGGTGGCCTGAGTGTGAGCAGTGGAACCACCAGCCCCTAGCGCCCCATTGTTCCACAGTGGGTGACAAGAGGCAGCTGGATCAGGGAGGGAGCAGAGCTCCACAGCAATGGTGTGTGAGCACAAGCGCCACCACTGGAGCAGTATTGGTGTGTTCTGGAGCTCTGCAAGGCGTTGATGGTTGGCACAGGGATTGGAGAGCCTGAGGAGCAGGAGATGGAATTTGCTCTCCTGGTTTCAGTCAGCAGAAAGCTTCCAGTTGCTGTCTTGCCCACTCTTTTGCCTCAGTTCTTCTGCATTACTTGCATTTCCCAACCTTTCTTGCTGGAATAATGCACATAGCTAAATAAGAATATGGGTTGGTGGTGATGGTCCAAGCTCCATCACCTGTCTTGCAGTGAGAAGGTACCTGTACATCAAGGTGGGTCTTGTGCTGCGGGAGCCCTGTCCCTGCTGTGAATGATTGCGCTGGTAATGAACCTGTGGCATCACCAGTGCATGAGTCTTTCTGCTTCCCCTCACTTTCAGATTGCACAGCTGAGAAGGGCTTTCCATTTGGATCCTCAGGGTAGGGGCCATGGATAGAGAGACAATTGCTCTGTGGAGGGCAGCTACACTCTAGACCTTAAAAAGAAAGCCATGGCTCAAATCAGTCATGAAGTCGAGTTGGAAGTCAGAGAAGTGTGTGACCAGCAAGGTTGTGTGTCCTCAAGGCACAGTTTCCAGTACATGAGAACAGTTTTCTCTGCTCCAACAGAATCTGCTTTAGTGCAATTCCATTTAACATCCCCTAACTTGTTACTGTTCCATGGGCAATGGATATGAAGTCTGAGAGGAGTGTGCATTCAGACAAATGCATCCAGAGAGCAGAGAGGATTCCAGAAAAAGAACCGAAACCTTAACTTTGAAGTTGGGAAATGAAGATCTGATGCTACTAAAGAGGGACCTAACTGAATGAAGATGCTTTGTGTCATTTAGGACATCTGGTACCAGGTGAAGTGTTGGGAATTCAGTCTGATCTTTAGCTCTCAGTATGACCTTAGAATCATAGGACAATAGAATATCTGGAGTTGGAAGGGCCTTGTAAGGAGCATTGAGTCCAACTCCCTGCTCCTTGAAAGACAACCGACAAGTAAACCCTGTGTCTAAGAGCATCATGCAGATGCTGCTTGACCTCTGCCAGGCCTGGTGCCATAAGAACTTTTCTGGGTAGCCTGTTCCAGTGAGCAACCACCCCTGGGTGAAGAACCTTTTCCTAATGCCCAGTCTGCACCCTTGGCCTCCTCAGAGGGCAACAAGCAGAGGGACCTTAAGAGCATCTTAAGAAGCAGTAGAATGTTCTTCTTGGTGTAACTGGTCAAGGGACTGAGCCTTCCCAGGAGGTTGGTGACCATGGCTGAAGTGAGCTGGGATGAAGGTCTGCTCCTCTCTGCCCCTTCACCTTGTATTCAGTTCCCTTTCCTCCTCCCTACTTTATAGTTTTATGGCATTAAATGCCAGGAAGGAGAAGAAACAGCACACTGAAGCTCCTGATGAACAGGGAGATGTTTGAGAAGTTTTAGAAGAAGAATGTTTGGAAGAAAAAAGATGAAGAGCAGGAAGTGGCAATTTTATTGTACATCACTTGGGTTTATTGATGCTTTCCCCCTTTTGGCTTTATATTCTCTCCCCTTGTTATTTCCCTTATCATTATTATTTATATATCATCATTATATCATTAGTAGTAGTATTCTATTGTACTTTGGTTACTAAACTTTTTTTATCGTAACCCATGGGGTTTATACTCTTCCATTCTCCTCCCCATCCCACCAGGGGTGAGTGAGCAGCTGCTGGTGCTGAGGCTGGGTTAATTGCCTGGGTTAAACCACCACAGACCCCTTTTTGGCATCATGGTGGGGCCAAAGGATTGAGCTAATGGCAGGTCTGACCAGATGTGTCCAATCAAATCCATTACAACAGCCATTGCAGTGGGTTCACAGTCTCTGCTCAGTGCCAGTTGATTTGCTCTTGGAGTTGTTGCTCTGAGTCCCAGAGTTGTGTTAGGTCCCACCTTACTCACAGTGTATGTTCCTGCAGTGACATTTCTCCTTCAAGGGGCCTGGGCTGAGGTGGTTCTTCTACTGTTTAGTAATGGCTTGTAATGTGATAGAATTGCTGGTGTGACACTACTCTGGGCTACGTATTCAGCATTGCGTCACCCCTGTGCTTTGGGCTCAGAGGACCAACTTCTGGAGAGGATATTCCACCCCTTCCTCTCCCCACCAGGCTATTTACAGCAGCATGCGAGAATTGTAGACTGAGTATCTTTTGAGTACCTTTGAAACAACCTACTCCTTTTGATGGGAACCAGCACATTGCTGCACATGGCTCAGGTCTTGAGGTTAAACATCTCTGAGAACAGCACCGGGAGATGTTCCCAAGCTGGACAGTTGTGAGTGCAGGTGTGTGGAGAGTGTGAGCAAGGACCTGGCCAGAGGCACCTCCAGAGCTTTGGAACTTCACCCCTGGACAAGTGCAGAATCCAGAATAACCAGTAAAACACTGGGAAAAGTCTGCTGGGAATTTCAGAGAGGCCAAACCACAGCAACAAGCTGGGCTAGGCCCTGCCACCGACCTGTTCAGCACCAGTCAGTGCCCTCGAGGGGGAGAGAAGGTCTGGATGTGATGGCAAAGCACAGGCACTGCAGCTACTCCAAACACAGCTACATGCAATACAGCTACTCCAACCCCAGCTACAAGCATTGCAGCTACTCCAACCAGTGTGCACCTCAATGGGATTTGATTTGGGGTGAGAGTAGGCAGTAAGTTGAGCTGTGTAATGCTGTAGAACATTGGATATTGTTGCTTTACAACGGCTACGCAACCCCTCACTGCACTGGATACCTCGTGGTACCATCTGCACTGCTCCAGATTTGGGGATCTGAACTTGACTCCCTTTGGATCCCCACATTCAGGAAAAATGGACTTTGATAGAACTGGACAAGCACAGGAGGGATAGGATCAGGATGAGCTTCAGCATCCAACAACTCAACACCACATACCATCATCCTCCCTGCCTGAGACTGGTGTGACAGATGGAGCCCCAGGGGACAGAGATCTCTCTGTGTATGTATCTGTACCTCTGTCAAAAGACAGGAAAGGTGCTGGTGACAAGTGTGAGGCCTGGCATGATGCGACTGGGATGGAATAAGGGGTGGATGCTCTCCTAGTTGGGCTGGGATAGTTGATTTTCTTCCTGGCCGCTGGCCCACTGCTATGCTTTGCTTTAGGCTGACACTAAAGCTGACCCAGCTCCTTATCAGCTGCTGCAGCAGCACTGCAGCATTAGCTGTAGCTGATTAGCTGATATATGACATGAACGGGAAAGAATTAATGGAAAACACTACCAGGTAACTGTGGATGCATTTGGAATTTTCCAATATAACATTGCTCTGGCTTTAGCTGCATCCAAACTCAACTGTGGCTACCATCATAAGAGAGGGTTATGAAGGCACCTCAGCCACTGAAGTTCCAAAGTGATCTGGGACAATGCAGTTGAAGTGGAAAGAGAATTCCAATGCTGGTAACACCAAGTGAATTTGACTTATAAAACAGGGACAGGAAAATCACAGCCTGTGTCCTGACAATCCTGACAACCTGTGATGCTTCAGTATATACCACAGACCCAACTGTTCCCCTAGGATTAAACCAAACTCTATTCATGACAGCAGAAAGTATGAGCCAAACAACGTGGAGATAAAAGGCAAACTGTTGATGTTGGTGTGTTCTCAGCATTAGTCTCAGACTAAAACCAAAGCACTGCACCAGCAACTAGGGAGAGAATTAACTGTCCTAGCTGAAACCAGGCTAGGAAACACCAGGGGTTTAGTTGTAACAGTAACATCATTAAGGCCCAAGACGTTTGTCTTGACACTGACCAAAATGGTCATCATTTTGAAATGATGAGATACCTGGCACTGAACTTTTACATACTGGAACTGGGATTCCATGTTTCTGGATGGCACTGATGTAGAAATACCCAAGCACTCACACACCCACCTGGAGGTGGGACTTTACTGAAATCACAGGATGAGACTTTAATTTTCCAAGTCCTGTTCCATCTTTCCAGCTGCTTCAATCTCATGCTACACCCCATCAGGATTCTGGTAACCCATTGGAATGAATCTCACGTTGGCGAAGAACCTGTTGCAATGTAATGACCTGAATCAGCTGCTGAAGCAAGTTCAAACTAAGGGACACAAGACTGGTTACAGTGTATCACGATGCAGAAAGGGCACACCATGTCCTAGAAAGAGTGAAGAAGGACAGAGAACATCAGTGGTGGGAGACCCCTGTTCAGATGAACAGCATGGCCAGGTTTATCTTCAGGTGGTCATGTTCATGTTCAGGTCATGAACAGCAACTGGGACTTTAAACCCAATGTTACATCTTACCTTAATTTTACTACTTTCTGCTACAGTGGGGTTGTTGCTAAAGGTTTTGCTGTACATTAGAACATGGAGATGAGCTGGACAAGTGACATTACTGCAAAATCCTCCTCACGTGTTTAATGTTGCTTAATCTCCTCTAACAAAATCTTAACAATTGAATAAACCCACCAAAAACGTCCCTCAATTTGTAACTGGAATCCAGCACTGCTCTGTTCATAGCACAGAGGCAAGAGGCCACCACACCACCATGCTGTGAGAAAGATGGAGTGAGTTTAGTCATGAGGCAGGCTGTGGTGGTGCATACCTCCCTCCCCTCTCCTGGATGCCTCTGCTTCCCCAGGGATTCCTGCTTGGGCCCCAGCCTTTGCACAGTGCAAGGAGTTGGGTGCTGGGTGCTCCCTGGCCCTGTCAGGAACTTTAATTGCCTAACACAGGCAGGAAGCACCACACAGCTATCAGGAAGGTCAGATACTCCGTTAACTATCAGGAGTTCTTTTAGGATGGTCAGTCATTCCCTGACAAAGAACGGAGGCCAGGAGGAAAATTTACTGACTAAAGCCAACTCTTAAAGCATGTCAACAGTGGTGCCAAGAGACACCCTTTGAGCTCTCCTGGACCCAGTGATCTCTCTCGGAGTGGGATACCTCTAAGATCCCCCAAGCTTTCCAAGTTCAGGAAATAGGGGGATCATTTGCTTGGGGTGTTCCTGCTGCTGACACTCAACCTTTGCCTGTGAGGAGTGCTGAAAGGGCTGATGTGAGTGTATTATCAGTACTGCACTGTATACTGCATCCAAGAGAAATACATGTATATAATCTAGTATAGCTATGTAAATATATGTCTACACATCTCTATATCCATCTGTCTCCATCTGAGTGTGTTGTGTTAGGTCAGATACTCCATTGTAAGTGCACGTACATGAGCTTCAACAGCAAACTGTTGTTAGAAACCGTGTGTTCATTTGAACAATCCAAACTGCTGCTCAAAGACATTTGTAATCCCTGTTCTCCACACCTGAGACCAGGACTAGATCTGGCCACACTGAGGCTGGGTCAGGATAGAAGTGGGTCTAGTCTGAACCTCGTCACTTCATGGGAGGTCTCCCTCAGTCCTTTGTATTTTCAGCTTCTATACACATTATTTTAATTCATTTCTGTATAAATCACTGCCAATTCTGACATAATCTCTTTTGTGTGCAAGAGTGGGCCATGCCATTGAGTTCTGCTGAATCCCACATTTACAGATTTCTATCAGAATTACTTTTGTTACTATCTCTGATGGTGATTCTTCTGGCGATCCTGAGCGCTCAGTTTTGTGACAGCGCTCCAGCCCTCACAGCATCTCCGTGGCTTCCTCTGGACTCGGTCCAACAGCTCCACGTTCCTCTTGTGTTGTCGCCCGAACATCACTAGCAGTATTCTATTGCGCTTTAGTTACTAACTGTTCGTATCTCCACCCTCGGGGTTCAAGCTCTTCCATTCTCCTCCCACCTCGCCGGCGGTGAGCGAGCGGCTGCAGGTGCTGAGCTACCGCCTAGGTTAAATCACAGCAGGTGGCCGCAGCTTCCCGGCGGCTGGAGCGCTCGTGTCAACGATTTCTACCGGACTCCCCTGAGCGCCGTTCTCAGACCGCCGGAGCAGCCCCCGGTGCCGGCCCGCGACCCCGCATCCCCCCCGATGCGCCTCCACGGACGGTCCCAACCCCGGCAGCGCCACAAGCCCCGCCGCCGCCTCGCGAGGGCTGCCGGGACGGAGCGGCACCGGCGGCGCGGATTGGCCCGCTCTCCTCACGTGGCCCGGGCCGGCCGTCAGGACGCCGTTCTTCCGAGGCGTGACTTCGGCCCCGGCCGCGATTGGGTGCGCGCTTTAGCGCGACGGCGGCGTCCCCCGCACGTGACGTGGGAGCGGGGTCGGAGTCGGCCCCGGGAGCCCGGCGGCGGTGGTAGTGGTGAGTGGGGCCTGGCCCGCCCCGGCCCTTGCCCCGCCCGGCCAGCGCCTTCCCTCAACGGCGGGCCCCGCAGCCCTGCGGCGCGCTCCCCCTTAGAACGCCGGCTTCTGTCTCCCCTCAGCACCAGGGCCCGGGTGCCTCTGCAGCTCCGCGGCCCGCTCCCCCTCGGCTCCGGCTCCGCGGCGCAGCCGGTGCCCGGGCTCCGCGCAACGCCCCGCGGTGCGGGGCCGGGGTCGTGCTCACGGGGCTGGGGATTATCCCCGTCTGGGCCAGTCGATTCCTCCCGCAGCCGTTCGGAACGGAGCGCTGGGGCGGGCAGGAACAGCCCCGCGGGGGCTACCCCGGGGCCAGCGCTGACTCTTTCTCTCTACCGGTTGCGGCAAGCGGGGCCTCTGTTGTTTCCCAAGAAAACTTGAGAATTAAATGGCTCGTTCCACTTCTGATGTCCTCCGTTACCTGTAACCAGCCGGTGACATCTGTACTTGTGCGGCTGGGGCAGAGCTCCTCTGGTGCAATGGGAACTATGCCCTGAGGAGTGGTAAGAGTTGGCCATAGCCATGACAGAGCCCCACAGGGTTTCGTTCACCACTCTCCATGGTCCACTGAGCAGCACCTTCCTGAAGAGGTCTCGGAAGGATGATGCGGAGCAGCCCCAGGACGTGGAGCCGGCTGCCACTGCCGTTCGGATCACACTCACCCTCTTTGAGCCAGACCACAAACGTTGTCCTGAATTTTTCTACCCGGATCTTCTGAAGAGCTGTCGAGGGAAAATAAAAGGTGGTTCTTCGGGAGACAAGGTGAGCGTCCTTGTGGCCTGTGGGGACCTGTCTTGTAACTGAAGATCATAGAATCATGGAATGGTTTGGGTTGGAAAAGACCTTACAATCATCCAGTTCCAAACCCCTGTCATGGGCAGGGACACCTTCCACTAGACTAGGTTACTCCAAGCCCCGTCCAACCTGCCCTTGAACATTGCCAGGGATGGGGCAGCCACAGCTTCTCTGGGCAACCTGTGCCAGCGCATCACCATCGTCACATGGAAGAATATTTTCCTTATACCTAATCTGAACTTCCCCTGTTTCAGTTTCAGCGCCTCGTCCTATCACTATAAGATTTGAAAGGCTTGTTCAGCATTGTTGTTGGAGTGTGTGTTGAAGCTGGGAGATGCCTGAGGTGGAAGGTGGAGAGTCAGGCATCCTGCAGGCAGAACTGGCATGCAGGCAGGGGCTCTGTTGTCCGGCCCCACTATCTCACTCCTTTGCCTTGGCTGGAATTTCATGTTCCAAAAGGGGATGTTTTGTTGGCGGAGCATGGGACATAATGCTCCTTTTGTTTGAAATAACAGTGATTTTTGGTACCTGGCTTGCTGGCAGCCATGAGGAGAGATGCTTCCACAGTATTTGGTTGTGCCTTTTGGGGACCCTGCTATACTGCATGTGTGGGTGTTTTCTGTGAAGTGAAAGTTGTTTGGGCTATACTTGGGATTGCAAGTTCTCTTCTGAACTGTTTAGCAGTAAATTCATGGTTCATGCTGCTTAGTTTTGTGTTTTCTTTTGAGAGTTGGGAAGAGCAGAGGTGGGCGCAGAATAGTCTGAGAGAGCACCCACAGCCTTGAGACACTCCCAGAGTCACAGATGGGTCTGAACTGGAAGGGACCTTAAGATCATCCAGTTCCAACCCCCTGCCACGGGCAGGGACACCTTCCACCAGACCAGGTTTCTCCAAGCCCTGTCCAACCTGGACTTGAGCACTGACAGGGATGGGGCAGCCACAGCTTCTCTGGGCACCCTGTGCCAGCGCCTCAGCACCCTCACAGGGAAGAACTTCTGCCTAAGAGCTCATCTCAGTCTCCCCTCTCTCAGGTTAAAGCCATTCCCCCTTGTCCTGTCCCTACAGGCCCTTGTCCAAAGCCCCTCTCCAGGTTTCTTGTAGCCCCTATAGGAACTGGGAGCTGCTCTAAGGTCTCCCTGGAGCCTTCTCCAGGCTGAACCAGCCCAGCTCTCTCAGCCTGGCTCCAGAGCAGAGCTGCTCCAGCCCTCACAGCATCCCCCTGGCCTCCTCTGGACTCTCCCCAACAGCTCCACGTCCCTCTTGTGCTGTTTCCCCAGAGCTGGATCAGGACTGCAGGGGGGTTCTCCCCAGAGCACAGCAGAGGGGGAAAATCCCCTCCCTCTCATACTGCTCACGCTCTGGGAGTGCAGCCCAGCACACGGGGGGGTTCTGGGCTCAAGCACTCACTGAAGCCGGGTCATGGGGAGCTGCTCATTGACCAACACCCCCAAGTCCTTCTCCTCAAAGGAGAAGGACTCCTCCATTCAGTGTCTGCCAGCCTGGGGAGTCTTGTTTGCGCTGGGGATTGCCTCAATCCAAACGCAGGACCTTGCACTTGGCCTTTTGATCTCCATGAGGTTTGCACGATATCACCCCTCCAGCCTGTCCAGGTTTCTCTGGATCCCTTCCTTTTCCTCCAGTGTGTCAGCTGCACCACACAGCTCTCGCTGATGGTGCATGCTCTTGATTCCACTCTGTAAGTGGTTAGTGAAATACTAAAAACTATGCTGTACTGAAGGTTGATGTGTCTGGACTTCACCTGGTTGCTCTGGTTGTGATGGATTTACTGCATGGGGTTTTGGTGGCAGCATGATGGGTTGATTCTGATGCTTTTGTCTCTTTTCTTTCTCTAGAAGAAAGACCTGGCTGATCCCTTTAATGATGACGAAAAGGAAAGGCATAAAGTAGAGGCTCTGGCAAGGAAGTTTGAAGAAAAATATGTATGTTTTTGTTACCTTCTGTTATCCCTTAGAATGGCCACTGCTGTTCACCTTTCAGCCTGTAGTATTCATTCCGTGGCCACTGGCTCTCACCTTCTTGTTCTCTGGCAGTCCTGTTCTCACCTGGAAGCTGCTTTTTTCTTGTTCTTTTTCTGTCTCAGGCCCGTGATCCCCAAAAATAGTTCTGCTGCGTTCTTCAATCAGATGAGTCTGAAATTGAACAACCTTCTTGCTTGTAGTGGCAAATAACTTACTGTAATTTATAAAATTTAATCTTCTTGGGCAAAAAACAATTTCTAGGCCTGGTGGCTGTGGCATGGTGCAGTCTGTCAAGTCTCTAAGTTCATTGTGTGGTGGGTCTTCTGCTGTCAGGACAGCACTGGCTGCATAGCTTGAGAGAAGCAGATCTGTCTTGCCTGTTTCCTCTCTGTTCTTCCCCTCCCTTTACTTCTGTAGGTGGCAATAAAACTATGTTCTGCTTTATAAATGGCACTTTGGATAGTGAGTTGTATTGTCTTGTGATACAAATCAGACCTGTGGGTCACTCTCATGTGCTTGATGTATATAGTTTGATGTGTCTAGTACCATGTTTGTATGTACTATGTAGCAGTTCTGGAAGAACACTCCATCCCTGCACTGGCAGAAGTGTGGAAGGGGTACAGACCCAGTTCAACCTAAACTCTGTTGGCACAGCATCAATCTGTTGGGCAGCCCACTGTTTTGTTTCATTTGGCTGCACTGGTTTTATTCTGTATGACAAGGCCTAAACCTGGATTTACCATATCTTGAGGTTACAGCATGATGGGAGTTACTGCTGGTCTCATTCTCCTGCTGCTTGGAGCACAAAAGATTGTGTTCCCTTTCCTGTGCTGGAGCTGTGTCAGTGTCCTGTGCTGGGGCTCTCCCATGGGAATTGGGAAACGGGCTGAACACTGTCAATCTGTTCTTGTTTAGGGTGGCAAGAGACGCAGGAAGGACCGGATTCAGGACTTGATTGACATGGGGTACGGATATGATGAATCCGACTCCTTCATCGATAACTCTGAAGCGGTGAGGCTGGGAGCGTTGGGAGGGTGGTTAAAGGTGCTGCTGGGTCTGAGCTCGCACCTGGGGGGAGCCTTTGTGGGGTGTGAGCCAGGAGTGTGCCAGGGCTGGGAACAGGATATCCCATGGGAACAGGAGATCCCAAGGGAAGGGGAGATGCTGGGGGAGGCTCCCAGCAGCAGAATGCCAGTTACGAGGTGTGTGCACGGCCTGTCTGTTCTTGGGGAACACAAATCCTGCAGTTCATTCTGTAGCTCAGCTGCTTACAGTGCTAATGGATTGTTCTGGTTTATCTCCAGTACGATGAGCTTGTTCCAGCTTCGCTTACTACAAAGTATGGAGGGTTTTACATCAACTCAGGAACGCTGCAGTTTCGCCAAGCATCTGAATCTGAAGATGACTATGTTAAAGAGAAGAAGAAGAAGTGTCCCAAGGTCAGCAAGGCACCTTTCTCAGTTGTTTCTTCTGTTAATGCTCAGAGGGTTTCATAGAATCCCAGACTGGTTTGGGGGTTGATGGAACCATAAAGCTCATCCAGTTCCAACCCCCTGACATGGGCAGGGCCATCTTTCACTAGACCAGGTTGCTCTAAGCCCTGTCCAGCCTGGCCTTGAATTTTTGCTGTATTTCCTGTGTGAATGGCGTGTGGACTTTCAGAGTAGGGCAAGGTTTGTGAATTGGTGTGGACAAAATAGGGATGAGCCCTTGAAATCTTTTTCTGTCCCTGTATTTGACAGTAAAATGGGGGGTGTCTGGTATGGATGAGACTCTGGAGGTGCTGCCTGATTCTGAGAGTAGAGGTGACAGCAGCCCCCTCTCATACTAACCATGTGTGGGGTTTGGGTTCCAGTGTGGGAGGAGCTGGTCTCCTGTTCTTGGGCTCTGGGGGGTGCAGGGAGCATTGTAGGAGACACTTTAGTCATGACTTGGTTTTAATCCTCTCTAGAAGCGGAAGTTGAAAGACGGAGGTGAAAAAATGAAGAAGAAAAAGAAAGATGATTCTTACGACAAGGAAAAGAAATCCAAGAAATCCAAGTTTCCCAAAGCTGGGTAAGGAGGGGAGGGAGTGCTCACTGCTGGACAGTCTGCTTCAGGGTCACAGTGCCATTTGTCACACTGTAGTGGTATCTGTTGCAGTGCAGGTGGCCTGAGTGTGAGCAGTGGAACCACCAGCCCCTAGCGCCCCATTGTTCCACAGTGGGTGACAAGAGGCAGCTGGATCAGGGAGGGAGCAGAGCTCCACAGCAGTGGTGTGTGAGCACAGGCGCCACCACTGGAGCAGTATTGGTGTGTTCTGGAGCTCTGTTGAGATGGTGGTGGTTGGCACAGGGATTGGAGAGCCTGAGGAGCAGGATAATAACTACAGGGACAAAGCTGGGGGAGGAAAGGCAGGCAGGAAGGGCAAGAACTCAGAGCTGTGCGCGGGTCAGGCTAGTGGGGAGGAATTGGTTAGAAGGCTTTGAGTGACCATAGCAGAAAGGCAAGTTGTGTATTGCTGCTCTCGCTGGCAGTTGTTTGTACTCCTGCCTGAAGTATTTCTTGGGTGAGTGACCACCCTTCTGTATTGCTTCTCTCCTTCTGGCTATAAACCTGAGTGGCTATTTGTCTTGCTGAGTTCTTTGGTTCTGTTGCTTTGCTCTGCATGGCCTCTCTCTTTCAATGTCTGTATCTGTTTTTTTGTCTATTTTCCTACATTTTCCTCCTATCTTTTTCCTTCTTTCTTAATTATTCTTTGGGATTTCCTTTTTTCTGCATGGATATTCTTTCTAGCAGCACCAAACCACACATCTGACATGGTACTGTCAGTGCATGGTTCCTTCATAGTGAGCTGGGAAAAGTAATTTGCTTTCCTGGTTTTAACAGGCAAAATGTATCAAGCTGTTGTCATACTAACTCACTCCTGCCTCAGTTCCTCTCCACTAGTGTGTTTCCCAATATTGCATGCTGGAGTAATGCACGTAGGTAGTAAGAACATTGCTTGGTTGTGATGGTTCTAGCTCCATCACCTCTCTGCAGTGAGGAAGAGAACAGCCTTCTCAGAGCTTAACAAGCAGAGGGACCTTAAGAGGCAGTAGAATGCTCTTCCTGGTGTAACTGGTTGTTGCATTAAGAGAATAACAACTGGTTGTTGAGAATAGATAATTCTTTTGGCAGAAAATAAACCCCCCTTGCCTTCCAGCTAGTCCTCAGATATTGGAGCGGCTAGGTGCGGTGAGGCTTAGATTCTGGGTGATGCCCAGTTTACCACTTTCAGTCCAGTTGTGTTGGCTATATTGAACTGTCACGATTCTGGATGCACTAATAGCGCACTGCACCTTCAGCCTCATTGTGCTCAGGAACTAGCATGGCCACACTTAAAAGCATTTGGTCCTGTTCAGTGAGAAAACTATTACGATTAGCTACTTCAACAGTGCAGTTTGTTGAAGCAACAGATACAGGTTCTTATGGATTGCCAGTGATAAATACACCGTCTGCAGAAAGCACGTGCAAATGCTAGGATTGTGAATTGTACAAACGCGCGACAAAGTTATGAATAACACAGCCTGGCTTCAAAATGTAGAAGTAGAAAGTGACTCTGTATAGAGATTCCTAATTTTCCTGGGAATCACTTGGTACAGTGCAAGTCTTACCCAAAGGCATCCCTGTGTGGGGGGAGAGGAAGGTCCAGCCTGTCGACCAGTCCCAGGAGTCAAGGGTAATCTGCTGATGGAATCTTCCTCGACTTGTCCACAAGGATGTCTTCCCTGATATTCCCCCTTCCTTGGGCCATTTTTATACTGTTTTTCCCCTTCAAGGTGGAGCATGAGCAACTCTAGTCATACATACCTTTATTGGTGTAAAATTCTCTCGCTTCACTGATAAAGGTATATACCAAAAAGAATTCAAAGGGCATGCTTGAGGAGGGGTGATCTCACCTTGGAGGCGGGTAGCTTTGGAGATGGAGATGTGTTTTTGTATTAAAATGTATTAAAATTAAGCAAAGTTCATACAAAGGACAACATTTTGTCAAAAGATGACAGACTGCTGGCTCAGGGTAGCACGTGTGCATCTCACCCATCCTTATCAGTTTTTTGTAGCACCTAGTTCCCATCTCTGCTTGTGTTATGACAGAGCTTGGCCGCAGAATCTCCACTCGGCCCCATCCTAGTGCGATGTTGCCACAGGAACCGCTGTGGAGCGAGTTCCTTGCATACCAGGTGCAGACGCACCTTACCCTGAAGGTGCACTTAAATTTATACCTTTCCGTTATGTGTGAACAATGCTACATTTTCAAATATAAGTTTAATTTCTAAATCATGCTCAGTAATTATTTCACACTGGTCAAGGGGCTGAGCCTTCCCGGGGGATTGGTGCCTATGGCTGAAGTGAGCTGGGATGAAGGTTTCTTCCTCTCTGCTCCTTCATCTTGTATTCAGTTCCCTTTCCTCCTCCCTACTCTGTTTACAGCTTTACGGCATTAAATGCTAGTAAGGAGAAGAAGAAAAAGAAATACTCTGGAGCTCTTAGTGTCAAGGAGATGCTGAAGAGGTTTCAGAAGGAGAAGGATGCTCAGAAGAAAAAAGATGAAGAGCAGAAAGTGGTGACTCCTTTACCAGCAGAACCCCCAGCCCCAAGGGAGGCAGAGGCGATGGCCGACCCTTTGCTCTCACTCTTTGGCCATGCCAGTGACAATGACCTGCTTCAGGCAGCGACTGCTATGGACTCCTTAACTGACCTCGACCTGGAGCGGCTCCTCAGTGAGTCCCCAGAAGGGAGCCCCTGTCCTGACGTGGAGGATGGGAGCAATCCTGCAGGGATGGGTTTGGAGCAGGATTTCAAGCAGCCACCCTCTCTCCCAGATGGCCTCCCAGCCCCTTTGGAGAAACGCATCAAAGAACTGGCTCAGGTAAGGCAGGTCGCTGCAGGGTACTGGGATTGTGGGGTTACCAGAGAGGGGACAGTCCTGCTGGGTTTGGGTAGCTGCTCCCATAGTGGAATGGGGAAGCATTCTCCAGTGGGATTGTTCTGCAGTGCTGTGTGGGATCACACCTTTGTGTCACCCGGGTTTCTCTTATGGCCAAGTTGCTTCTTGAACACCAGTGTCAGGGAGTGACAGATTCCTTGACATTGTTACCTACTGCATGTAACACTTAATATCCCACCTGGCAGCAAGGCTTCTTTACCTCTCCTGTCGAAGTATGGACCTGATGCCACAGGTAATTTCCAAAGTAAATTGAAAATAAATCAACTTAAAATGCAAACTGAGGCTGAAGGACTAATTCCAGTGTAATGGTTTTAACGTGCTGTTGACAGTCAGGATGTAGTGTATGAAGTGGTGTGGGGTGTTCTGTGTGTGAAATGAGTGGGTGCAGCTGGAAAGCATTACCTGTTCTGCAGTGTGAGAAGGCACGAGAAGCCCTGTAGATGGGGCTTGAGGGTTTGTTAGAAGCATTTCCCGTGTCATATGCAGGCAGATGCCTTCCTGAAACACAAGTTCCAGAGCTGTGTCACTGGCAGTTTGGGTTCTTTACCCATCTTTAACATCTCAGTGTTGGGGTATTGTTTAGGGAGTGGAATATATTCATTTCTAGAAGGGTGCCATGTAGCTTCTCCTGCAGCTGAACTCCTGTGGACTCTCCTATCTTCTCCATAATGTTGTGATGTTTTGGGAAGTGCAGTTCTGGAGGAGCTGGGAAGTACCTGGTACTGGTCAGGGATCCTTCTCCTGGCCCGTCAAAGAAGTGTGTTTTCAGGGCTGCTGTGGGGCTTCTCTGCTATGAGGGCTGTCCCCATCAGCCTGACAAATGCTGAGATGTTTTGTTCCTGCTACTAGTGATGTTTTGGAACATTGGTTTGCATTGATTTGTAAGTTGTAAACGGTGCTCTCAGGCCTGTGCAGTGGTTTGTGTTCTGCCTCCCAAGGCACATGGATTTAGAACACCTGCTAGCTGAGCAGCTCCTAGTAACTTCTGTTACTAAAGACCAGCTTCTGTTAGAGATCTGTGTTCTGCTGAGAAATGTGAAGTGTATATAGTGGTGAGCTATGGAAGAGAAGGAGGAATTGAAGTAAGTATTGCCACAGCTGATAAAAGTAATGGTCTGTTCATGGGTTTCTGTTTGCTGTTCAGGCTGTTAACAGAAACCCCTGAAACAGCTGTTCCTGAGCTATAGCTGAGTTAAATGAGAATGTTATGGAGGCTCTCATGATATCAAATTGATTGTTATGTTGCTGCAAGATAGGCACACTACCCACAGATTTTCCTGCTCTGTGCCTGTTGGTGAACTGTGTATGTTAAGGAAAGAAACTATGGTGGAGAAATAAAGATTTAACAAACTGAAGCCTCTGGGGCAGTTGCGAATCTGGGACATAAGATCTGTTGCATGTGGGAAAGAAGAGGTACCAGTCCTCTGTCTGAGGAAAAGGTCCCTTCATCCCAGCAGGTGGGAGCATCTCCTGAGTTGAATGGAGCCTCCAGGCGTTCCCTCTTCTCCTTGAATTGGTTTGACTTTAACCCTCTCCTTGTTTGAGGATTCTCTTTAGCATTGAGCCTTCTCCTTTGATATAGGTGTGTGTGACTGGCTGCTGACGGAGATGAATGTGCCCCTTCTGGGCATAAATCAGTTACTTCCTAGCCAAACCTTGGAGTCTTAAATAGGGGATTTCAGAATCAGGCCCTGTCCTTCTCTCCTGGTCTCCTTTCCTATGCAAGGAATCACTAACTTGATGTGGTGCCTTGTGGTCAATCCCAGTTTTGTTTACAGCCCCACTCAGAAGAGTCTGAAAACTCTTGGCAGTTTTCTACTATCTTGTTCAGCTCTTGGAATTATTCCCCCCTGGACATGTTTTCCATGGGTGTGATGTTTGGGCAGCACTGTGTGTGCTGCAGTCATAGCTCAGGAAGCTTCCTGAACAGGATTTATTCATTATTTTCTTTTTAGTTTCCATGGTATTGATTGGGAATAACACATCCCCTAGGGCTGCTATTCTTTCTGTTGGTTTCTTGGCTTAGTGTCCAGATTGAGCTAGAAAGCCTGGGGATAACTATCCCTGACCCTCATTCAACATGACTAAGATGATCTTTCCTGTTCAGGGAGAAGCTCTATGCTCACATTAATCAATCTAACAGCTCTAATGTGGAGTTATAACCATGCCCTCAAACTGCCCCTTCTCCCTGTGGGAAGCATGCCAAAAAAGCTAGTTGCGCCCAAGCCATCTCCTTTGCCCCATTCAATGGAGAAATCTTTACTCCAGTGTAGTAACTTGAGTGCATCTGGACAGCAGAATCCAAAGTGCAAGGGTCTTTGGACAGGATGTGGTTTTACCAGTTCAGATGGCAGGGTTGGACTTAAATACTGGCACATGGTGATAAGGTCTCCCCTGAGCTTTCTTGACTCAGTGGTGAACAAGTCCAGCACTCTCAGCCTTTCCACACATGCTTCCCAGACCTTGGATCATCTTTGTGACCCTTCTCTGGATCCTCTCCAGCCTGTCCACATCTTTTTTGTATATAGTGGGGGCCAAGGCTGAGCACAGTATTCCAGGTGTGGCCAGACAAGCACTGAGCAGAGTGGGATATTATTTTTATCTCTGCGGGTGATGCCCTTGCTGCTTGCTTGTGTGGGTCTGTATATGGGAACTGATGGTGTCTTGTGTTATATCCTAATGTCCAGGCTGCCAGAGCTGCTGAGGGAGAAGGCAGACAGAGATTCTTCACTCAGGACATCAACAACATCATATTGGAGTAAGTGCTGCTGGGGGAGAAGAATAGAAAAGGAGGATATTGGGCAGAGCATTTTTGGGAAATTCAGGAGCAGGTTCAGCAGGAGTTGTGGGGTTCCTCGACACAGAACATGCCTAGAGTAACCTAAAAGTCTCCTGGAAGTGACTTTCAGATGAAGCATGATGTATGTCTGAGGTAGGAGAATGTTGGAGGGGCTATATCCAGGCCTCCTGGTCTCAAGATGATGCTTGATATCCATGTACTTAAATTTGGTCATTTGACCTGTGATTATAGCTTGATAGAAAAACAGTAAATCTCTCCCTGTCAGAAATACCAGGCATGTTGTTTGCTGTTGAAAATATATGGAATATATTTACATATAAGCTAATATATATACATATATAATATATGTTCTTATAACTAGGCTACAGCTGCTCTGTTCAACTCACTTTCTGTGCAGATTGGAGGAGCTCCATCACTGCTCTGTGTTATCGAGTCCCCCAGTTACAGAATGTCATTGTTGCTTCATGCAGTGGTTGAAAATGGTTTCATTCTTCTTCAGGTGCCCAATGAAAGCTGCTGAATGAACACAGCTTTGTGATCATCACAGAGTAATAACACTTACACAGAGGCTTTAATTTCATTAAGGTTTATCAAGCACTTGAAGGGAATTGACGAAGGGAAGTTCGGGAGTCTGTTTCCCTCATGTTTCAAGTGGTGGTTGCTAACCTTTCAGCATTCCAGTGCTGACTGCACAAATAGTCATCAGTTGTCAAACTGAAAACTTTATGCACATTCAGAAGAGATTTATATTTGTATGACCTTGCTGTAGAATCAGTTCCAGATTTTTACACTTAGTGACACTGAGAGGTGGCTTAAAGGGCTGCTCTCTAAGACATATAACCGTGTAGATCGATTTAGTGCGCACTGGCACCTCTGCCCTTCTCACTGGGAAGTAAGTTCAAGCCCAAGAGATAAAGTTTGAATCTGTATTCTCCTGAGTTAGACTGCTGTAGATTCTGACATCAGCAGTGTGTACTCTCATTTCTCATTGCCTGTTGCTCCTGCACTTGAGTTGCCAGGAAGAGCTGCAGAATAAATGAGGGTGTTGACATCTTTTTTGTTCCTTTTCAAGATCTTCTGAAACCAGATTAAAAGCCACAGCGTGGGACAAGGCTTTACGTCTGTTGTTTGAAACCCTGCAGAGCCATCGTGCATGCTGCTTGTACTTTATTCCTCTCTCCCTGCCTCCAGCCCTTTAGGTTGCATTGGGGCTGCATTTATGTTGTGCAGAGAACCGCTGCCAGATCTCCGTTCAACGTTGTTTTTGTCTTGTTCCTCAGCATCGAGCTGCAGACCCGGGAGCTGAACAGCCAGATCCGGTCAGGGGTTTATGCCCACCTGGCTGCTTTCTTCCCCTGCAGCAAGGACACTCTGGTCAAGCGCGCCCGTAAGCTTTACCTCTATGAGCAGGTGAGTGGCTTTGGCAGCACAGCCCCATCTGGTGTGCAGGTTACTCCTGATCTCTGGAGCACAGGTGTTGTCTATCTTCTGTGGTGGGGTGGTGCCCTCCAGCCTGCACAGTTCAGGCCATGCATGTGGTGATGTGGATCTGGGACTGGGCAGGTCTTGACCTGCCATGTTTGGCTGTCCTGGCTGGAAGATGTCATGTGATCCAGGTTGGACAGAGCCTTGGGTGACATGGTTTAGTGGGCAGTGTCTCTGCCCATGGCAGGGGGGTTGGAGCTAGATGATCTTAAGGTGCTTTCCAACTGTAACTATTCTATGATTCTATGTGGAACATCAGTCTGGTGATTGTTCTAGGGTGGTCGGTTGAAGGAACCTCTGCAGAAGCTAAAGGAAGCCATTGGAAGGGCCATGCCAGAGCAGATGGCAAAGTACCAGGAGGAATGCCAAGCCCATACTCAGGCCAAGTTTGCCAAGTAAGCCCCTTGTTTGCATGTTGTACATCTGCAGCTCTGCTCAGCAGGCTCCCTGTCACCAGGAGGCTGCTCTCATGAAGTTTGAAACCTGTTTTTAGTCTGTAGTCAAAAATTGCTGATGGGCATTAGCTGGCCTCATCAAGCCATGTGTGGTCTTTGTGCTACCCATGGCAATGCCAACTGCAGCAGCACTGATGGGACCAGGATCTGGCTGGTGTTTCACTTCTGGAGGGTGTGCCTTTAGGATCACAGCGGTCTGAGAACAGGAAGGCTGGGCTAGTCCCATGGTCTCTATTTCACAATATTGGGAGATTTCTTAACCGTGAGCACTTGGCTCAGCTTGCAACCAAAGCAAGACATTTGAGCCCTCTTTCCATGTGTGTGTTACCATTGACTACTGAGACCTGAACAGTGTCGTTCAGAGATACTTAACCCTCTCCTTGAGCCTCCAGGACAATGACTTCCACATTGTCTCCATTTTAGAATGCTGGAAGAAGAAAAGGACAAAGAGCAGCGAGACCGAGTTTGTTCTGATGATGAAGAGGATGAAGAAAAGGGAGGAAAGCGTGCTGCAGGACCACGAAAGAGGTTTCAATGGAATGATGAAATCAGGTTTGCATAATTTAGATACTAAGTGAACCTGTGACATGTCTTACTCTGTGCAGTTGGAAGTGGAGTATTTTGGTACTTGTGTCTTGTTTTCAGAGCAGTGCCGATCATCTGTAGTAAGTCAGCTTGGAGATTTGTGGCAGACTGTGCTCTTTATGGAAGCCACTGATTAACTCTCACCCTTATATAAATTGCTGATTTTAGGCACAAGCCAACTCTGAGAGAAGTGCAAAGAACCCTCTGTGCAGAGGCCAAAAGAGAGAGTGACAGATCTTTGGGAAAAGAAGGAACTCAGCTGAATTGCTGAAATCCTAGAGACTGGACTCTCACCAAGAGCAGATTCCGGTTCTGAAAGCAGTTACAGCTCCTGGGGATTGCTGCCACTGGAGCCCAAGACTCTGAAAAGAGGGTGCTGGAAGAAGGGAAGAGTGACAAAAGATAATGAGACTCAATCTCACTGTCCTTTTTGTCTGCTTCTGTAACAAGTTGGGGTGCTGGTCTGTAGATGGCTGATTCACTTAGAACAAAGCAAGCTTTGCTTCCTGCCTTCTGACTGCTTCTCAGTACGGAGGTCAGCAGAGAGGTTCAGTTCTGTGGTTGTTAGTGCCACAATTACAGGTGTCACTGGTTTAGTACCTCTGCTGTTTCAGGAGATTAAAGTGAGAAAGGGTAACATGTCTTTTCTGCCCTGGCACATGGATGTGTGGACACATGAAGCAGGGAATGTGCTTTTCCCTTCCTCTTTCTTGTGGAGGCAGCATAGGGTCTGTTTTACTGAAGCAGGGTGTCGTGCAGAGCCAGGTGTACCTAGGTGTGGTTATCCAGCCCTGGATAAGCAGAGTGACCTCCAACACAGGGCACTTAATCCACATAACTGTATTTGAAATCTTCCTGTTCTTCAGGGAGCTGCTTTGCCACTTGGTGAAGATTAAGTTGGATGGTTATGACCTTGACAAGAATAAGGCTCAGTCTCTAGAGGATTATGTGAAGACCTTCCTAGATGGAGAGGTGAAGCCCCTTTGGCCAAAAGGCTGGATGCAGGCCAGGTGAGCAAGAATCAAGTTGTACCCTAGGGATTCCTTGTCCTGAGGGACCTTAGAAGGTCCTACCCCTGCTCAGAGAATGGCTAGCTTCAAAGTTAGATCAGAGTGCTCAGGGCCTTGTCCTGTGGAGTTCTGGAGATCTCCAGGAGTGGCCCCTGTTCCAGTACTAAATCACTCTTCATGAAATCTTTTCTTGCTTACACTCAGAATTCCCCTTGCCACACTGAACTGAATATTCCTTCTTTTTGCTTTTGACACTCTTGAGAAAGGTCTGGCTCCATCTTCTTCATGGCTCCCTGTGCTCCACACTCTTTAGGTAGTGGAAGACTGCCTTTAGATCCCTCCTTGGTCTTCATATTTTCCAGGCTAAGCAAACCAGTTCCCTCAGCCTCTCCTTGTCTGTCATGTGTCCCTGTTCCTCAGCCACCACAGTGGCAGTTCCCAGTTTGTCAGTGTGTCTCTTGTATTGTGGGGACCCTGAAACTGGATGTTGCATCCAGATGTGATCTCACAAGTGCTAAGCAGAGGGGAATAAGTGTTTGAACTGCGAGCCGTGCTCTTGTCTAATACCTGCAAGTATACAGTTTGCTTGCAGCAGTGGTTCATGTTCAACTTGTCCACCAGGACCCTTGGGTCCTTCTCTGCACCCCTAGGTCCTTTTGTGCAGGGCTGTTACAGAGCCAGTTGGTCTCCAGCTCATGTTGCTGTGTGGGGTTATTTCCATCCCACCTACAGGACTTTGCCTTTGTTGAACTTCACAAGGTCTGTGTTGCCCCTTTCTCCAGCCTGTCAGTGTCCCTGTGAACAGCAACCCAGCCCTGCAACATATTCTTCTCTCTCTCTGTTTTCACATCACCCCCAAACTTACTGAGAGTGCAGCCATGTTGTAGTCCAGGTTGTAAATGACTGTGTTGAGTTATCTTGGCCCCTGTATTGACCTCCGATGGATGCCACTGGTGGTGACAAGTTACAAGGCAGGACTGGCGCTGAGATGAGGCTGACTGGCCTCTGGTTTCTTGACCCTGTATTACAAAGGGTCACTTTGTAATCTTTCTCACAAAGGATACATTTTTCAGACTCTTTGGGAAGCCTTCCTTAGGGTATTCCCAAAAGAAAGCAAAGCAGAAAGTTTTATGGGCTTATGGACTTGGACTGGACACATCAGAGAGTCAGTAGAGTAAGTAGGATTTTAGTGTGGTTTTCTTTACCCTATCTGGTGTCTTCACTGCTGTTTCCTGCTCTTTCATACCCTCCAGTATCCATGCCATTGAGCTGGCAGTTGCAGAGGGTCATTCTGGGACTGTCATCAGTGCCTGGCCTGCTTTGGTTTGCTCCATAGTTTTAAAGAAGGAGCAACTGTACAGTCTTACTGCTGGAACCTCCATCTTTTTGCCTTTAAAGAGCTGGGCAGCCTTGTTGTCTTCTCTTTGCTGAATTTGCTTTTTGGGTTTCATGGGGGCTAAAGGAAGAAGTAGGTACCAGTTCTTAAGACCAGTGAGTAGCATGTTACAGATGTGTTTGGAAAAGTCCATGGCCATTTATTGCAGGTGCACATGAAGTACATACTGTGCATGGTTGTAGTGTGGTGTTGCAGTGTATGGGAGCTGAATGATAGCACTAGGAGGTGGTGGGTGGAGATTCCTACTTAGTTAATTAAGATGTTACTGGCTTGAACATCTGAGCTTGCCAAGTTTGAAAGGCTCTTTTCTTTGAATAAAAGAAAATTAAAGTCTTTCACCTTTAGTTTGTAAATGAAGTATTTAGGCATAGAACTGCTCACCTCAGAGTTGGTGTAGAAAGGCCTTCCAGTGAAGTTAACTGTAGAATGACTGAATAAAACCAGTTTTCCTGGTGGTTTTCCAGTGGCCCAAGGACAATATTTTTTTCTTGCTGGGGCTTGATGGAGTTGGACTTGATGATCTTTAGGGGCCTCTTCCAGCTTGAGATATTCTGTGATTTGTGGTTTAAAGACAGGGTAGACTGACAGCCACGTGGAAGGGTAGAGGAGGGATTGGCAACACTAGAAGAACTGTGAACAGTTTTATGGACATGTCAGCTTGAGTCACTGTCATCACATTGTAGAAGCTCATCTTTAAGAGGAACCTGAAGATGGGCAGAGTAGCTGAAGATGGGCAGAGTAGCAACTTTGCATAGGAGTTCAGAGAGGCTCTGCCATGCTTTTTCAGCTGGCACAAAAAGGTGATTGACAGAATAAAAGGCTAAAATAAGCTTGCTTTTTGAAAGATAAAGGATGGCAAAAGGCTTTGTCAAGCTGTTAGCAGCAGATGGGAAGTGTATTCTGCAGGCCAGTACTGAAGGTTTATTTATAAGCATCTTACCCTTACAGCTGAGTGGCACCTGGTTTAGGTGAAATTTCGTGTTTGAGATCCTGGTTTACTTGGCCTCAGGAATAAAGGGGTTTGGCTGAAGCTCTCTTGATGATGGTTAGTCAGTTGTTGGAGATGGTGCTGCTTATTGAAGAAGTCACCTTGGCTGTTTGCTGGGGATGTGAAGGCAGCAGAGATGCAGCATGTGAATACTTCTCATCCATGTTATTTGAGGCAGGGGAAGGTAACCTTTCTCCCTTGAAGTTGGTGAAGAGCTCTTGTATGATCTGCCAGCTCTTGGGGATGCATGGCAATAATAATGCCCAGCTTGAATGTGCTGCTTTTCCATTTGGCTGTCAGCTTTTCAAGCTGGCAGAACTTCTTTCTTAGTTATTGACCAACAACTGCCTTAATGGCCCTTCCAGCGCCTACAAGCGTAGCTCCAGAGAGGGAGCTGTGTGCGGGAGTTCAGGAGGATCTTCCTTGAAAAGGGATGAATACCTGTTTGCTCTCTGTGACTTTTAATTTCACCAAGTCCCCTGCTGTACTGTGCAGCTCTGTCTCCAGTGATCCCAGCTGCTCTACTGGGTCTTGCTGGATATCACTTCTCATTGCTCTCTTCCCTTCTTAGGACACTGTTTAAGGAGAGCAGGCGTGTACATGGACACCTCACATCAGTCCTGTGAGTATCATGTAGCATTCCTTTGGAGTGATAACTGGTGAACTCCATTCCCTGGGGCTTGGGTGGATCACACAGGAGCACCAGAGCTTGCTTGGCTCCCATCAGATAGTTTGGCGCTGCTTCATTTGGGGAGGTCTAGGAAGGGTAGTTGTTTGTGTGTGACATCTCCCAACAACAGCCTTCCTGAAGTGCTTTAGCCTTAGAGTAAGTTCATAGAGAAGAATGTTGAAGCCAGGTTGCCTCCTGGCCTTGTTCAGCAGACTGGAGTCTGTGCTAGTCCCTGGGAGGCATATGAAGGTAAAGTGGAGTGTGGTACAAGCAGTGTGATTATTACTGCTTGTTCAGTCGCTCTGATTCTGGATTCCCTCTTTCTTGTTGCCTGGTTGAACAAGGGGTGCAATGAGCTCAAAGTAGTGAAGATGGGTGCAACAGGCTTCTGGGTGGCAAACCAACAGTGCCCTCAGAATCCGGCTGGGCAAGTGCTTTAATGCCAAAGTGTCTCATGGATCTTGCTATAATAGACGATGATACAGACTGAGGCTGATGTCTGTTGGACAGGCGGTCCTTTTTGCGGCACTGGGTTAGCGAGGGGAAGTGTGAGGAACAGTAGGAAACAGTTAGTAGGAAATCTTTCCCTCAGCCATACCATTACAGCAGTTCAGGGATGCTTTGTATGAGAGGTTGCATCTGACCAGACCAAACGTTCTATTTTGTGTGAATTTGGCAGATGCTTTTTCATCCTTGACTTCTTCCAGGAACCTTAAAGAAATGTGTAACTTTGCTTCAAACCAGTCTCTGTATCACTTTCTCTATGGGTATTGCTGTAGTTAGGCCAGCAGTGGGTTCCTGCAGTAGCTCTGAGCCGTGGAACTGGTGCAGGATGTGTCTGTTGAGCGTTTGCACTGCTCTGCTGCTGTTTCAAGACTCTGCTCCGCTCCCTGATTCATTCCCCTGTGTGGGAGTTGGGGCTTCCTAGAGCAGCAACCAAATGTGATGTGGTTTTGAATCCTAGCAACCTGAGATGCAGCCTCTGTTCCCTTGGTTCTTTGCAAAAGCCTCAGTGGATCTTAACTAACGTGGCTGATATGTAATCCCTCCTAGGACGCTTCCCTCTGGGCATTCAGTGAAACTGTGTTTCTTTTGTCTCCCTCAAAACAGGTCGAAGAAGAAAGTTATAGCTTCTACTAAAGTGAAAGTGAAGGTGAGTTCTTTGTTTTCTGGTTCTCTTGGTTGACATATACCAAGAGTCAAGTGACTGCTATCTTAAATCCTGTATTTGAGCTTTGTATTTATACATTGTATACAAGGAGTTTGTACTGAGAAATAATTCTAGTCAATATTGGCCTTGAAAAAACAACTAGAAGAGCAGCTAAAATTGATGGCAGCAGCAGCTGGGAGTGAGGCGAGTGACCACGGAACATGCTTATCCTGCCTTTTATCCCCAAACCAGGATCCCTTCACTTTCCAGCAGGAAACCCTGCCTCTATCCTGACTCTGCCTTCTCTTGTGACTTTTGTTCCAGGAATCTTCCTGCAAACCAGATAAAAAGATGTCACTTTCTGTTCCTTTGATGCACTCAAGCAACACCTTAGCTCTGTCTTCAGAGCCCCAGGGGGGAGCTTCGGGCATCAGTGCCCAAACCAGAGAACTTTTGTCCCTTGGGACAGCCCAGGCAGCCAGCAGCACTGGCACTCCCGCTACCTTCATGGATGACTCCTTGGATGAGGACTTAATTCATAATCCCACTTCCTCGCTTGAAGCAGTCTCTAAGGAACTGGCTGTGCTGAACAGCAGAGCAGGAGGGAGTCCTGACTTTACTCTTCCTGGGGCTCTAAAAGCTCCACCAGAAAAGATCCCATCCTCAGAGGAGAAGAGGACGTTTTCAAAGTCCAACCCTTCCCCTACATCATCCTCTGGTTCCCTTCAGTCTCCTCTAAACTTCCTGGCTGAGCAGGCCCTGGCATTGGGCCAGTCTTCTCAAGACAAAAAGACAGAGAACTCTAATTACAAAGAGCTCTCCTGCCAAGCCTCCCCCAGCAAAATCCTTCCTGATGCACACCAGGCTAAACAGAAACACCACAGTCTGGTCCGGCCAGGCCACGGCCCTCAGACTTCTGCGCCAGTGCCGGCTTCTCAGGTGAAGGTCTTTCACTCAGGCAGCCAGGTACAGAAAACATTCACCTCCCCAGCTCCATTTGTCAAACTGCAGAATCCCAAGTCCTCCTCCCCACTGCCCCAGCGCTCTCTCCTCCAACAGGTCAAGTCATCAACCAAAGCTCAGAGCTTCCATTCCTCTGCATCACCAGGCAGCACCCAAAACTCAAGCAACTCCCACAAGAGCCCAGGTTCATCATCATCACCTCTCAGCTACACAGGAAAGCACTCAAGTGGCTCTAGCTCGTCAGGACAATCTTACAAATCACCTTTCGTTTCTGGTTCTCTCTCCAAGCATGGAGCTTCTTCTAGCAGCTCCTCATCTGGAGCTTCTGCAAACCAGGGCTGCTCCTCTGGGAGCTTGCTGCACAGCGTGCAGACACCCTCCTCGGGCCAGGCGTCCAGCCGCCCGTCCTCAAGCTCCTCGGTGAAGAAGACACCTGTTTCACAGAAGCTGACTCTGGTGGCACCTCCGGGAGGTTCAAACGGAGATTCTAGTGGGGGCACTCAAGGGGTGGCCAAGTTGCTGACCTCCTCCCTCAAGCCAGCTGTCGTTAGCAGCACCGCATCTTCTACCTCTGTGCCGGTAAGCAGGGCTGTGCTAGGCCAGCCTGGAGCCAGGGGAGTGTGTGGCGTTGTGTCAGGCACATCCTCCTGTGTTCAGACCTGCTGTAAAGCATTGGCATTGACTTCAGAAGAATTTCCTGAAATTCCTGACTGACTGTCTGGATCTTGGATGCTTAGGCTGGGAAGTCCTGGCCTTTGCCAGGGGCTTGCATGCCACAATTCCAGCTTTCATTTTCAGCTTTAACTACTAAGCAAAATACCTTCCAGACTGCAGTTTTTGCATAGGCTGTCGAATGTTCTTGCTCTGCCTTTGAGACTTCCAGGAGCAGCAGAATTTCCATTTGGGTCAGGAGAAGTGCAGTAGGGCAAATCACCACTAGAGCTAGAAATCATTGCATAAACTAAAATGATGGTGATCGGTTTGCTGTGAATTGGGTCTGCAAGCTTGACCTTTCTTAAATTATTGCAAGTAATCGTAGTATTATTGCCACTTTTTTCATGACAGACCTATAGAATAGCCTCTGATTCTGGGCTATAAACTCAAATCCCTGCCCAGCTTTGGTGGTTCTCTCTGTCCCTTTCCTGTTGCTCCTTGTTACTTCTGTAAGCTACTGAAGTGGTGTTTGTAATTGAGCTCAGTGGCGCGCTGTGGAATGCAGGGTCTCACAGTTCATGGGGTTATGTCTCCTGAAGGACTCCTGCGTTACCTCTACAGACTCATGTTTTTCAGCCACTGGATTTAATGGTATAAGTGCCTTAATTTTCACCTATAGCAAAAAAGGAATCTTAGAATCAAGCAGGTTGGAAAAGACCTTTAAGATCCTCAAATCCAACCATTCCCCAGCACTGCCAAGGCCACCACTAAACCATGTCACTGAGGACCTCATCTACACGGTCTGTGAACACTTCCAGGGAAGGGGACGCCACCACTGCCCTGGGCAGCCTGTTCCAATGCCTGAGCACTGTTTGGGGAAGGAATTGTTCCTAATATCCAGTCTAAACCTCCCCTGGTGCAGCTTGAGGCCGTTCCTAATGCTGTCATAATAATTTGTTGTTGGCTGTTCATACCTGTCTTTGGTAGCACATGGAAAGAGCTGAGCAATTAAATGCATGTATTTAAATGGCCCTGAAACCCATATGCTGCTCAGCCTATGTACCTTGATTGTTACTGAGGTAGAGAGCTGAAAAGCACTCCCCTATGATGTCCTCAACCTTCTGGGGTGCAGGGGTCCACCAAACCTTGGTGCCTTGAGTTATCAGCAGTGATCTGCTGCCAAAACGGAGTAGGAAGCATCCTCCCTGGAACTCACAGGCTTTTCCTCTGCCTAATGGAGACACAGTTCCAGAGTAAGGAAGCAAGAGTTTAATCCAGTACAGTCCCATTCAGAAGAGCTTAGATAGCATGTATGATGTGTCCTGGGCATCTGCAGGGTTCGTAGCTCTTGGGTTCTGGCTGGGAAGGTGGATTCTTGCAAGGAGGAATTCTTGAGCACTCCATGTTTTGCAGCTCTTTAAGTATGGATGATGCTTTCCCACTCCTGACTGACCTTTTTTGTTGCTTTTCAGAAAGGAACTAGTGGAGCTGTGCTGCTAACAAGTTCTTCCTCCTTAAGTGTACTGGCTCCATCCTACAAGTCCAGCAATCCAAAGCTGCCAGCTGCCCTGAGCTCCACGCCGTTAGGTATTATCTCTCCTATTCATTCCTTCCCTCTTCATGTCATCTCCTTCAGTTCAGACTCCTCCCCAAAAGCAGGAGTATCAAAAGATGCAATAGTTACAGGACCTGCTCCAGGAACTTTTCACCATGGCCTTGGCCACAGTGAGTATTCTCCTGGTCACATGTGTGTACTGCTTGTGCCTGTGCTGTCAAATAACACCACCACCAGTGCTCTGCTGCATTAACCCGTTGCAGACCAACTCATCTCTCTTGCTGTTGCTTCATGCATTTTTATCTGCAGCAGTTGCATTTGGAGAACCTCTGGCACGTCCTGGTAGCTAACCCAGAAATCCCAGTAGCTGGAAGCTGAGCTATAGGCAGCTCCTCTGCTCATTTCTGTCTTCAATGCATATTTGTTCCTGTTTTCCCCTGTCCTTTCTTTGTTTTTCTCTCTAGGTCTTCTAGCTGGCTTGCACTCCAGCCCCCACCATGCCGCGCCACTCCCACACTCTGCCCTGTCCACTCATATACCGCAGAGCTTGCCAGGTAACTTGTCAGTCTGTCGCGGTGTCTCCTGCCTCCTGAGCTGTCCTCTGTCTCAGCAGATGGTTCATCTACGGGTGAAAGCAAAGTGGTTGTCAGACCAGTGTGGTCATCACTAAAGCCAACGTCCATCCTGAGGTTCTGTTTCGTTAGCCAGGGCAAACTTGGGCATTTCTGGAATGAGGAGCCCTGTCTGCTTACAGCAGGCGTTGGTTCCTGGAGGTACTCAGCTTTGCTGCTTGTGTCATGGTGAAGAATTATCCAGCCAGGATTAAAGCTGCGATGTTTATGCATAGTCTGCCAGGGACTGCTCAGGAATGAATATTTGGGTTTTATAGAGTTTTTTACTGGTGACCTACATAAAATGTGTCAGAGCAGAATGCCCCATGTCTGTGCACTGAGCTAATTGCCTGCATCTCCTTTGCACCAGGTTTGTGGTGTAGATGGAGTTTGCTTTACTTGGTGTGGACAATGGGATGATTTTGCAGTTAAGCCTGAGTGTGGTGCCTGCAGAATCAATGCATAAACCAAGAGTAACCCGAAGAACACCTTCTCTGCTTGTAAGTGGAGTCCTGCCTGGTGGGCTGTGCTCATGTGTAAATAAGCAGCACCGTGGAGGAAGGAGGGAAGTAAGGGGGATCCATGGAGCACTTAGAAAATTGAAATGCAGGACCAGCAGATTGGGTTCATTTGCTTCAGGGAGTTGCTTTCCCTGTTAGTAATCACTGTTTCTGCTTTCTTAATCAAGTGCTCTTCAGCACTTCAGTGCAGTTCAGTGCTGTCTTGGTGCCTGCTCCTGTTGGATTGTCTCCCTGGGGAATATGGGGCTGCTTTAGGAGTAGATGTGCTACTGCTGCGTTAGATGCGCTGGGGTTCAGGTGGCCTGCCATGGCCAGCATGGGCTAAAATGCCCTTGGCTGTGGAGCTGCTCTTTGCTGAAGAAAGAAGCAAGTGCTGTGCCCTGAGGAGATCAAAGGATTTGTTGTCTTTGCTTCTTTGGTTGAAGTTGGTCTCAGGTGGGTTGTTACGCTGCTCAGGTGTGGTAGAGCAGAAGCAGCAGCTACTAGCAGCAGTCACTGGTATGACAGCCCCTTCCTGATTGTAAACTCAGTTAATGGAGAGTAAGATAGTTGATTTCAGTTTGAACATGGCTTGTGAAATGTATTCTGTGTCACTGAGGAGTTTTTTGTCCCATTACCTGAGGGAGTTTAGAGTGGTTACTTCACTGTTGCTTCTAACAAAAGAACTTCTTGATGGCCTCCTGCTCTTTAGCAGGATGTAGTGCCAGAAGCTGTGAGTAGACAAAAGGTGACTAGAATAAGTGAAGAAAACCAGATCATTGAGACAGCTGCATCAGGGACCTGCCTTCTCACTGTGTGTTCTCTCATAAAGATTAGTGATCGAGCCTCATGCTGCCATCTCCGGGAACATTACCAGTTGTGGTGTTCTGGAGAAGGACAGTCAATACTGAAGCGACCACCATAATCTTAAAATGTATTAACTTATATTGTGGCATAAACTGTGCCTGGCTGCCTAAGCAGGTGGCCAGAACCACATTGCTCTGCCTGAAAGCTGTGAGGACTCTGGTGTGTTGGGAGGTTGCTACAAATGCAATACAAATGCTGATGTATCTCATGAAAATGCTTATATGAGCATTCATTACTCAGCACCTGAGCAAGGAGCAGTCAGTGCTTGCTTGTGTGTCTCTGCTGCTGGGGGAGGTGCTTGTGTGCTGGTGCTGTGGTGATGATTCTGACTGATTGCTTCAGAAATGTGATGTGCTGGGGCTGAGGTCTTGCATGGAATGGACTGTCCTTGTCCTGGAGAAGAAGCTGTTGTCACACTGGTCGGTGCCGCTGCCGCTTAACTGTGCATCTTGGTACACCCATTTGTTTATCATTGATGATACTTTAATTGCTCCTGGAAAACTTCTGCTTCCTTAAACTTCCTTTTTCTCTCTTCAGTGCATTTTCTCTTTCCCCTCCACTTCTGTTCCTTTATGGTACTTCAGTGATTACATTCCTGTTTCCTGTTCCTGTTTCAGTGGGCACCTAAAGCCTTCACTACAGCAGCAAAGGTGTACTAACAGTGTTATTTCAATCCACTTTCAGATGCAAGGCAGCCAGTACCACATTTCTAGTTTCCTGAATGGGGAGACATGATTGAGTGGCTATTAGAGAAGGGCATAGGGTAGCTATCAACCAGCTATCTGAATCTATGCTGTGGTGCCTTTGCTAGGAGGCCACAGAAGACCCTCAGAGCTTCCCAAGTCCCTAACTCAGGTGCAGGGGCAGGGCTGCTCCCAGTTGTGAGATGTCTCCAAGCACATCCTCTCACCCCAATTCCTTGGAGCTGGTAGGCAGAGGGAGTTTTTTCTGTGCAGAGGGATCTGGCTGCCCTGGCTGTACACAGCTCTGTGGACCTGATGCTCAATCCCCTTCCCACTTGGTTTTCTTTTCTTTCAGATGCTTCTCAGCTTCATGGCAAAGGGTCCAATGCTCAGCAGCGCAAATTGTGATGTCTGCAAGGAGCATAGGATACAGCATGCATAGGATAAAGCCAAGAGGAACAGATCATGGACTTTAAATACCGGCTGTGTCTTTGGGTTTTTTCCCTCCTTTCTTTTTCCCTTCATGACAACTGGAGACTGAACCACAATGAAGAGCTTGTTGGTGTGTTGGCTCAGAGGCACTCAGAGCTAAGCCCCACACAATGGCCACCTTGCACCATGCCCTAATGAGAGATGCATTTTGTAGCACTGTTTTATTGCTGCTGCCCTTCATGCATTCCCTGGCACTGGCAGGAGCTGGAACTCGCAGGGAGACGCGGGTGGCTCAGCTTCTTGCAGGGGATTCTCACCCACCTCTGTCTGTACCTGCCAAGTACCTCCAAGTCCAGTTACCTCCTTGGTCTCCCAGTGGAGGGTATGGAAAGTGCTTCTTTCTTCTGATTTGGATTTACTTGGATAATTCTAGCACTGCCAGTGCTTTCTGAAGACGTTTGAGGAACTGTTCAATTGTACTATAAAACACTGCTACAGTTCAATGGAGAACTTACATTTCTTGTGTGGTGAATCTAACAAACCACCTGATGTTCATGGAAGACTCTTTAGAGAGACATTTTTAGATGCAGTCATTGACTCTGAGAATTCTCCTTTTGGGTTTTGGATTTTTTTCCTCCAAAGGAATGCTTTTTTCCTGCTTAGTTCTATCCTCATTACCATCGAATGCATTGGATTGATTCGGACACTTCTCAGCATGTCACGTGTATAGGAAGACATAATTCCAGTGCCTTTTATGGTGGAGCAAGAATGGACTAGCGACACACATTTCAGCCCTATTTTGTGTGCTCCTTAACCCTTTTTTAATCATTCTGTATTTAAAATGTATTCTGTTTATTTAATAGAGCTTTTTATGGTTGCACATCAAAAAAAGAAAAAAAAAAAAACCAAGCTGCACTGTCTGGACTTCAGTGGTGTCCTGGTGCCTGTGAACACAGCACCAAACTCAGCAAGAGCACCAGTTTGTAGCTGAGGACGTGCAGGTGGGTTCCAGACCCTCCCTTAAAGCCATTCTTTCCTAGGGTCGCCAGTTAGGATATCTTTGGTGGGCAGAGGGAATGATCTATATTAACCAAGGTCAAGTGAATTCCAGAGAATAATACTGCTTTCCTTAATGACTTCTGCACTAGGATCATGTGCTTGTTGCAGCTGCAGGAATGGGACCTTCTAGAATTGGGGGGTATATTGTCTTGTGAATTTGTAACTTTCAGACCTGAATACTTCTCCTTAGCACCCTTTCAGTCAGTGCACTAAGGGCAGGCTGTGGATCCAGCGGAGCAATGTGGGGTTTGATTTTCTGCTCTCCTCCCAGTTTCCCTTTGCTCAGCCTCCCCAACCCCCAGCCACATCTGAATCGTGCAGTAGTAGTGCTGATCCACATGGACTTCACTGGTATTTCAAGCAAAAGGTTGCAGCCTTCCTTTGGGAGCTTTGGGAAGGATGCTGACATGGAGTATACCAGCAGATCTTTAGTTTTCCCTGGTTTTGACTGTTTTCAGTTTGAGCTGATAGATAATTCCCCAAGATCAGTAAATAGAATAAGCAGCTCAGATTTAAAATCTGTTTACAGAAAATACCTAGGTTGTAGCAAAAGAGCCAAAGACAGAACTAGATAATAAAACTAAGCACAGCAGTTATTGATGGACTCTGAGCAGTGGATGTCGCATGATTCTTGCTGAAGGCCTGATCCTGCTTCCCCTGGTAGCTGACAGAGTGCTCAGATACCTACAGGATAGGGACCCTCAGCAAGTGACTTGAGGTACTGGTTCTACTCCTCTTTGCTTTCACTTGACTGCTTCTGCTGGGAAGCACCATGTGCGTGGCTAGAGCAGAATGCCCTCCTTCTAGGAATTTAGCGAAGCCTCTTGCCTCAGGGAAATGTTTCTTTGGTGGAATTTCTGTGGGATATTTTTTCTTTACATGCTATAATGAATGAGTGAATGGGATGGAGCAGAGTCATGGCAAGGCAGAACTGTGCAGAGGCCCAGCAGTGGATGGGAGCCAGGATTCTGGCATCTCTGCCTTGAGAGGCAACTTGCAATGCTCCCGTGGCATGTGCTTCAGACAGCAGCTCCTTTTGGGTGTAAGAGCTGCAGGTTACTATGGTATTTTTTAGTGTGTCGGGGACTGTCTTGCTGAAGATGGTGGGGGTGGTATGCAAACTGTTCATCTTGTACAGAACAACTGAATAAATTGTTTCAAAGTTTCCAAAATGCTTTTTTTCCCATCTCCTTACCTCTAGTTTCATGATTCTGTTTTCAAGCATTTCAGCTTGGATGATCATCTGTTTCTTGATTAATTGTTTTAACTAAAGTCTCTTACGTAGTAGGTAAACTACAGCTCTGTTTCTAGCCATGGTGGTGGTAGATTTCCATATTCTCATACAATGTGCTCCTGATGGTGCTTGAAGTTGACATGTGCTGGAAAGAACATGTGTGAGGTTCAGCCCCTGCAGCAGCAGTGTGATCCTGCGAGACACTTTGATTCACAAAGGTAAAATAATGGTGTTAATCCCCAGAGCCTGGTGGATGTGCAGTGAATGCTTACAGCTGCTTTTGGTGACAGCAGAGTTTCATAGAATCACAGAGTGGTTTGGCTGAAAGGGACCTTAAAGCTCACCCAGTTCCAACCCCCTGCCACGGGCAGGGACACCTTCCACCAGACCAGGTTGCTCCAAGCCCCATCCAACCTGGCCTTGAACACTGTCAGGGATGGGGCAGCCACAGCTTCTCTGGACACCCTGTGCCAGCGCCTCAGCACCCTTACAGGGAAGAGCTGCTGCCTAAGAGCTCATCTCAATCTCCCCTCTGTCAGGTTAAAGCCATTCCCCTTTGTCCTGTCACAGTCCAATCCTTATCTGTTTACTGAGGCTTGGGTATTAGCTGAAATTTGGGGGAAAAGAATGTGCTCTAGATGTGGAAGCTCTTGCTACCAACCCTGTGTGATTCCCTGTTTTCCTGCAGCTGCAGGTCCCATTTCTTAGTGCACTTCACTCTCATCTAATACTAATTAGTCCCAGCTTTAATGCTGCTCCAGCAATTTCTCTCTTGGAAAAAAGTCAACAGCTAAAACGAACAGTGTCGGTTTTTAACTTTGACTCTGAAGTGCCATCTTCTTGCAAAGCCAAAGATGAACAGACTGTGTAACCAAAAAAGAAAACCCAACTTCTGATTGGAATCACTGCCTTTTTATTTTGTACTATAAATAGAATTCCCCTCTATTTCCCATTGCCTTACACGAGTAAATGAAACATGTAGATGCATGTAACTCCAACCAGTAAAATACCAGCACAAATGGCTTTCAACCATGAGGTGAGTGAACTGTTCCGAAGGCACTCTGCATTTGGGTACAGCTGCTTGTTCTACACGACCCTCTCGTGTTGGGCAGTACTGCCACCTCTTCACATACTTTTTGTTGACCTCTCTGGTCTGTGAATGCTCCTCCTGGATCTATAGCTGACGCCGTCAAAGTACGTCTGCTTCACTGTTCCCCAGCAGCACAGGCACGTAGGTGAACAAGATGATGGTGTTCAGGTGTTGGCATGGTGACACTGAACTGAGATGTGTAGCACACCTTTGTTTTTACACAGCTGGTGTTCTCGGAAAGTGATCCCATCATTCATAGTGAGTTGTGCACGATGAGCTGTCTGGCTTACCAACATGCAGCTGATGGAACCAGCTCCTGCTGGTCACCTCAGTGTCGCCTTGACTTTCAGTCCCTAATGACTGCTATGTACAACTTTTTATGTGACTACAGAGGAAACTGCAGATTCTACCGAGTCTTTGGACTTCAGGTACTTCGCTGTCCTGAGGCTTTTGTCTTAGGTTTTGTTAGGTTGAGTGAGTAGGTATGGATGAAGAGGGGTAGAAGGTTTTGCTGTTGTCCTGACAAACGTGTTCTCTACTGCTGGTGGTGCTTTTCTGCAGTGTATGACAGCAAGCAGTGTGGCTTCGTAGCATGGCTGGGGCAGAGGCTCTAGCATTTTGGAAGACGCAAAGGAGGGCAAGGATTTGCAGTGATCTGGTAGGTAACAACTGGTGCAGCTCTGATCAGCTGCTCTTCAGGAAAGTTTCTAAAGTGGAGGGAGCGCTGTGTAGTTACTTCCTGACACCAAGACTGCCAACTCCTGGATCGACATCTCCTTGTTGAGGTAACTGTTGTACTGAGCCGTGGTTAGCCTCCCACTCTTCAGGGCATCCTCAATTGAGAACTCTCTACCAGACTTCCTGTCAAGGATCACAGACGATTCCCCATTGGGACCCTTTATTGAGATCTCCTCCCAGTCACATTCCTGGCTCTTCAGTTTGACAAACAGGCTCCACTCAATGAGGCCAAACACATGAGCTTCCTCTGGAGACATTTCTTTTCCTGTATCAGGGTCAATGACCACGATGGAGCGCCTCAGGTGGTTCTCTCTTTGTTCCCTCTTGATAGCCACTGTCTTGAGGCGATTTTGGAGTTGCTCTATCTCTGCATCTTTTTCTCTGGATAACTGCTTCAGATCATCTAACTCTCTTTCCAAAGCTTGGAATCTGGAGTCTAGGTTTATCGAACTGTCCACGTGGGTCATGTTTCTCAAATCCTGAGCTTCTGTTGCTGTGAGTTCAATCTCTGACTGCAGTCTCCTGGTTTCCATCAGGAGGTTCTGTTTCTCAAGGTGTAGTTTGTGGTTCTCCTCCCTTAGTAAGTCTAGCTCCTTTGACGACTTGGAGTTGTTGAATTCCACCTCAGACAGCCTGGTTTCAAGGCGATTAATATCTGCATCTAACTCCCTCTTACGCCTACTTTCTTCCTCCAGATTGCTCTTCAGCTTTTGAATCTCATACTCAGTGTCTCCTTTGTCCACTTGGACACTCTCTGAAAAGACCACTTTCTCTTTGACCTCCATCTTCTCCAAAGAAAGGAGCTTCTTTCTCAGGGCTTCTAGTTCAGTTTGCAGGACTTGTCTCCGGTGCTTCTCTTCTTCTAGCTCCAGCTTGAGGAGAGAGTGTTCCTTCTCTTGCTGGGGATCTTGCTGAAGGATCACTTTTTGTTTCACAGTTACTCGTTCTGTTGTCTCCCTTTCCTGTTCTTCCAACTCATTCAGCCTAATTCTCAGCCTCTGCACCTCCAGCTCGGCCTCTCTGCGTGCCTGTCTCTCCTTCTCCAGTTCTTCGAGCTGACGCTCCAGCTCTGAACGCCTCCTCTGCAGCTTGCGGAGCTCCTCACGGAGGCCGTCAATCTGCCTCAGCTCACACTCAATGCTCTGAGAGAAGGAGTTGACTTCTGCTTTCAAGGCAGGATCTTGCTCATATTTCACTACTTCCTGCTGGACCACTTTCTCCTTCACTTGGGAGAGCTCTTCCTCCTTCTGTCTTACTTTCTCTTCTTGAAGAAGGCGCTCCCTCTCCAGGTCAATGTGTTTCATCTGTTCATCTGCTAATTGCACTCTCAGGGACTCGACCTCCTCTCTAGTCCTGGGGTCTTCCCGAAACTGCAGAATTTCTTGAACAACTTCTTTCATATGCACTTGAGGTTTGGTGTCTTTCAAAGCTTGTATCTCTTGTTTCAGCTGGTAGATTTCAAGGTCAGCTCTTTCAATTGCTCCTGTCCTCTCGATTATTTCCTCCCGGAGTCGCTGTAGCTCCTTTTCAGTTTCTGGATCATTCTTGTACTTAATGACCTCCTTAATGACTTCTTTGACTTCTACCAGTGGCCCTCTGTTCCTCAGAGCAGCCAGCTCGTTCTGGCAGCTCTTCAGCTGTTCGTCACCACCTCGGTATTTCCTCTCCTGTTCTACCAGCTCCAGACGAAGGTTGGCAACTTCATTTTCAGCCTTGGGATCTGGGCGCACAATCTCACGCACTTTCTCCTGGACGACCACCTTGGAGTTCTCTTCCTCCAGCAGCTGGATCTTCCTGAGCAGCTCAGCCTTCTCCCTCTCATTGGAACGACCCTTGGACTTTTCATCTTCATATTGGCGCCGGAGCTCATTCACCTCTCTCTCGATGGCTAAGTCTTTCTCTACCTTCAGCACCTCCTTGACGGTAATTTTGCCCTCGGCGATGGCCCGCTCCTTCTCAAGACGTTTGAGCTTGTCTTGGAGGAAGCTGAGTTCTTCCTCGTGCTTCTGCCGAAGGGCGCTCTCCCTCTGCTTGCTCTCTTGCAACATCCGGAATTCCATCTCCAGCTGGGGATCGTTCTGCAGCTTCAGCACCTCCTTCTCTGTTACCTTCTCCTGCTCTTTGTTCTTCTCGCTGGACAGCACAGCGATTTGTTGGCGTAAGAGGATGACTTCATTCTCTCTAGTTCCTTCCTGCCTCCTGAGCTCTTCCAGTTCTTCTTTGAGCTTCAGGATTTCATCAGCTTGAGCTTTGTCTTGTTCAATACGCAGTACCTCTTTCACTATATACTCCTGCCCTCCCTCCCTCTTCTCGTGCTCCAGAACACGCAGCCTGATTTTAAGAGCCTCCAGCTCATCCTGGAGGACCTGGTTCTTGCGCTGCTCTTCAGCCAGGTTTTGCTGCAGTTTGTGGAAGCTCTCCTCCAGCTGAGGGTCAGGTACTTTCTTCAGCAGTTCTTTCTTAACGACAGTTTCTTGGGGCTTCTGGTTTTGCAGGTGGACAATGTTGCTCTGAATGGCTTTGATCTCTGCTTCTAGCTGCTGCCGACGCTGCGTCTCATCTTCAAGTTCCTTTTTCAGCTTCCAGACTTCTTCCACAGGCCTTAGGGATTTTTTGCTCTGGACAAAGCCTTCTGTCACTTGAACCTCTGGTTGCTGTTGTTGAGAAAAGAATGTGTAGTCAACAACTACCAAACAATCATACTTTTGGTGCTCATTTTCAGTGCCTCCTGTGACAATATGACAGGGGGATGTTGAGCTCGCTTTATGGCGGTTGCCTGCTGCCAATGCTGAACAGGGGGTATATGCAAACAGGCTGCCCTTGAACAGATGTGTGAACTCCCAGCATGAGAACTGCTTTTGCAATGCCCACTGCTGTCAGAACAAAGCTTTTAGCCACAAGGGACACTAATGCTGGCCTGGTTTGGCAAAAGTGTTAAAAATGATGCAGAGCTTCTTAGGGTGAGTGGGAGATGGGGCTGGGAAGCACAGAGGGGTTGTCTGCCTGATGTGTCTACTGATTAATGACTGGGGGCTATGAAACACTGCATTTGTTTCCAGTTCAACTCGTAACACAAAGGCACACGTGTGTATTATTTCCATGCCTCCTTT